ACCTTGCCACGCAAAACCAACACAAGCACTCAGGCTCCAAACCAAGCGACAGTGTATAAATACCAGAGAGAAAAAGCTTAGATTCTCATACGCTGAAAAACATTACTGACTAGAAGATAGCTGCTTAACAGCTTCTTGACAGTAAATTACATGGAATTTAACAGTACTATCTGGCATAACATCACTTAAGTCAATATCAAAGCTTACTTAACTAATGACATTATTTTAGAATATCTTGTCAGCAAGTAACAGGATCAGAAGTTGTTTCAGTCCCTCATGTGGCAAACTTTCAGCACTGAAGGACAGCTCCTAACAAATCAACACACTCATTGGTAACATCCCTTACTGCTTTATAATACAATTCAGGAAAAGATCATTCCCCTGGAAAAGGCTTATCACATTTCAAATGCATTGTTTCCTGCATGGAAGCCATTTTCTATCCTCTCAATAGCTTAGATGCTGGCACTTTACCTCAGGTGGTATCAGACCAGAAATCCATCCTTTTTAATGCCCTCTGACACCAGCCATATCAGACATTTCTGCAGAAAACAAAAGGCTGTTAAGAGATGCAGACATGAGGACATTCTGCCCCTTCAAGTTCCACTCTCACTTCTGAATCGGCTCAAATTATGAGCATGGAATATAACGATTCAGTCTAAATGTAACTCCAATTCAGCTTCATTAACTTGTCCCTCTATTCTTGTACTACAGGACAGAACGAGTCTTCTACTTTCGTACTTGCTTCGCAGTACTCAGTTTTATAAAAACTCAATATTTGTCTTTTCTTTCCTAAGGAACTAAAGTCTTGGTCCTCCCAAAGGCTTCATAGGAGAAACCTTCTCCTCCTCGTTTTATTGACCTTGTTCAAACTGCTCTACTTTAGAATTCTCTTTCAGACATAGAGCTGTAGAACACACTATTTCAGGTGAAGTCCAGTGACTGATAAAATACTTTTCTCATACTATGTGTTCTAGCATCCATTTTTGACCACAGCTGTATGTGCCTTCAGCAATAAGCAAGATCTCTCTCTTCTGTTAGTAATGTTAAATCTTTCCTTGGTGTATGAGTAGTTAATTTTTCTCCCTCAAAAAAACAAACAAACAAAAAACCCCATAAAAACCCACCCTAGATCTTCATTACTGTACAGTCTAGTTATCCTTCTTGCTTAAGTTTTTCCAAATAACATACAGGTTCTTAGTAATACGAATATCTACAGAGAAATTCAGCTCCTTTAATGGCCATTTTCCAAGGACTTTATTCTGAACATCATAAATCCAGCAAGGACTCTTGAGGTTCCTCACCACTCATACCTCATTTCTGGAGATCCCTCTTTCCATCATGGGGGTGGATGAGATGATGGCTTTGGTGCTTCTTGAGCTCCTTACTTTCAGAGGAATTTCTTTAATACAATAAAGAATCAACACCCTTTTCTAAGTGTATTCATGCTACCTTGTAATTATTCAGTGCCGAATAATTAGCTCTGTCTTGTTTTGAGCATCCCAGAATAACTGCTTTCTATATCTTCACTTGATTTAAGAGTTTACACTAGCTTATTATCTATTTCTACCACCATTTCCAGAAATAGCTGTTCAAACTTAACCGACATGGTATGAAATAAAGCTAATACACACTTAAGTATACCAACACATGAATTTTAGGTCTGTTTCTGCATCAACAGCAAGCAGTTATTGGCTTATCTACATCTTTAACGTTACAGCTTTGGATTACAGGACAAAAGTTACATGGGTCCTTCCATCATTCAGTAGCTACCCAGTCAGAGCTGTTTATTAATTACTAAAACAGGAAGAGAGTCTCTTATAACCTTAAAATAAATTTGACACAGCTATCCAAGCATACCTTAGTCTTCCTACTATCTACATTTTGTTTGCTATGTACAGACTTTTTTCTTGCTTGCTACAGTTTACTAAAAGAAAGCAGGAAACAGTGGTGAAGAGAAAGCAAGCTATTTCAAGGATTGCTCCATTACTTCAATGAAAAAACAAAAACCAAACCAACAGTAATTTCTTTGCAATAGATGACTTTGAATTTTTCTGGGGGGGGTGGGGGGGTGGGAAAACCAAACCCAAAAATGGTTTGTGTAAGCAACATGCTTAAGTAGCGAAGTTTGTAGCTATCAGTGATGTTTCTCTTCCACTGCCCTACCTCCACAGGTCTAAAAGGCAGATGACTAATCAAGGTGATCAGATGCAGCAAGAAAGTGCTAGAAGCACAGAAGAGGAGATGTAATTGATATATTTGAGTTACAGTGAAAAAAAGGAGAAATATAAACATCTTCACTGAGTGTGCAACAGCAAGACATTTCAGCCTGTTTTATGTCATCATCCATCTCTCTCACAGAACACTAGCTTTTTTATTATAAAAGACCAGCTTAGCCATTAAGCAAAATGAGTGCCCAAGAACATTTAGAGACTGTGAGCAATCTGACATCTAATTACACGGATTTATCAAATCTTTTATCTGTATCCCAAGCATACTAAAGGCATAGCAATTTATAGGAGGCAGCCTAAATCTTTAAGTTGAACTTTTCTTCCTCAAAATAGCACACAATATATTCCAATATCCAAGAAAAAAAATGCAGTCAGCACATATGGCATATTTGCTACTAACAAAGTAAGCATTTAAGAAAGGCATTCCAGCAGCCAGGAGTTTTATTTGCCAAGAATTCAGATTATTCTTTTTATATAAAAGTTTTTTCCTTTTTACATAGGAAACCAACACACAATGGATGCAAGTTTGTAAAGATTTCAGGAGGCTGCAAAATATGCCCATGTAAAAACCATTCTTGGAAGCCAACATTCAAAATAAACACCACCTTTGAGGCACCTCATATCCCAACATTAACATTTGTATGACCAGTTTCTACAGAAAAAGCTGTTACAGGGACTTCAGTCCCCACACTGTCAGTCTTGGTGGAAGAGCTTAAATATAAAGAAAGGGGAGAAAGAATCTCCTGTTTTCCAGGTACCGACTAATCCAGATGTGTAAAAACTTCTCCCTTCACTGGAGTCTCATCCGTTTTTCAGGTGGTCCTTTAGTGCCAGCACTCTGCTGAGCATTCTTTACAGTCTCTTTTTCCTCTGGCTTGACAGCTTCAGGGGCTGGTTCTGGTTCCTTCTTGATTTGATCCACTTAAGAAGTAACAGCAAAAGAAAGTTAAACCTCCAATTTTTATTCCTAAAATACCGTTCAGAATACTTAGAAAATATTGTTGATATCAAAGGGGCAAAATTAATTTGAAAGGTATAAGAATAACCAAGCACAAAATTCATACCTTACCTATATGAGTAAAAGCGGAATAGATTAAGAGATACAGTTCATGCCTTTCCTGTTCTGAGGTTGCTCACAATCAACTCAAAGGCTTCACATGCTTTCTTGAGCTTGTAGCACTATGAAAAGTGACTAAGATGCTGGACTGACTAAACTGTTACCTCATTCACCCTTTCACCCTCCTCCTACTTCAAAGGCCGTTTCTTGCATTTGGACTTTCAGGCAATACAGTTTTACAGACAGAAAGGGCAGGAGTAGAATGCACATTTTGTTTCAGTCTCACTCAGGCTGTCACAGAGAATTCTTACCTAGCACTTTGCACAATTAGGCAATGCCAGAATTCCTAACCACCTCAGTAGCAGCAGCAAGGAGCTTACATGGCAACTGGAAGACACTGCTATATACAGCCTATTTTTTAAGTCTTGTGAGAATATTAGAGTTTTACCTGGGATAGGCTTTTCTCCAGGCTTTTGCTGTGGGGGGGAGAAGAAAAAAAAAAAAAAAAAAGGCAACACATCAGTGGAACCAAAGTCATAACTTAACCCTTCCCACTATTCATATAGGAATATAAACCAAGCAATGTGCTCTTATACATAACAGTTGAGGGTAAAAGGGATCACTAAATACACTTTAAACAAAATCCAATTAATATAACATCCATTTTTTCCTCTGACAACTGAAAAGCACTAAAGCAAGAAATAAAATACACAGTTAGCCAGTTTTTCCCACATCTGAGGAGTAAACAGTTCTGTGAGATGCTGTAAACATAATTTCCTTTGTTCCCAGCAGAAAACCTGGTGGAACAAATAGCTACTAGACACTATCAGAGGTAATCAAAACAACTTCATAGAATGTCAAGAATTTCCATGCTAATTAGTGAGCCTCCAGAACAATGGAGTAAATAAAACCAAGTAACTGTGGTGGCTTGATTGAGCTCACAAAGCAGGAAACTGGAAGCAAAAGCAAGATCTGACAACTGACAAGAACAGACCCTCTGTGATTAGATAAGGAATTTGTGTAATAAATTTGACCTCATGGTTTTGCCAATGTCTTAATGACTCCTGCAATTACAAAGGGGAATCCTACACGCCAATCAGAGCCCTCCATTTCAAATTTATTATCTAATCCATGTTACCATTGCAGAAAGCACACAAAATTCCCATTCAGTTTCAGCTGTTCAAGTACTTATGACTGCCTCAAGTTTTAAGTAAGTCACAGTAATACTATGGCTTCTAAGTGTCATACCTGAACAAATCTGGGTGGAAACTTTTGTCTTAGGTCTAAAAGCAATGCATCTACCCGTTGTCTTTGGAAAATAGAACTTGGTTCTTCTTTCTTCTTGGCTTTCGGTTTAGTTTTCTCTGCAAGTCACAGAAATGTAAGAGAAAGCTGTATTAAGAGGTCTGTTCTCTTAGCAGCTTGTTGTTGTATGACAAGTTGGTATTTATCTCTCCTCTAAACTTCACCTACGTTTTCCCTTTGACATCAGGTTGGGTTTTTTCTTTTTGTGGAAGACAGATTAAGGACAATTCTTACCTCCTGACAAACTGGTTTGGGTTCTGAAAATGTACTTTGGTCTTCAGTGGGTTGAAGAATTGCCTACTTTGTTGACACATGGCTCACCATTTTCATCTCCCACCTATGCCTCAATGTTCATCCCCACCAGCACAGAAGAACAAGATTCCTTCCACCTGACAGGGAACACTAACTTACCCTTCAGACAGACACTTAACCTGATCTCTAGACCATCACTGTGCATTGCCTCAAGCTTTTCGCTACATTGCCTTCCCCTCTCCAAAAGTACACAGGAGCAACTAGGAATCATACCTCGTTCTTCTTGGTCTTTGAAATGCCACCAGTAGCCCTTGGACGGGTGATAGCGACAGTAGGACATAGCTTCTTCAAAAGCAGACTGAATTCCATGCACTGCAGTGAGCTTTCAGAACAAGAACATAAGGCAGTGTTCAGAATTTAAGGACAAAATACAATAATTTCTTGAAAGCAGGGATTTTAGAATTAGTATTCTATAATTCTTGTTCTGGGAAGGGAACTTGGGACATCTAGTTTTGGATCAAGAATGTAATCTCTTCAACAGGTTCTTACAAGACCTTTTCTGAAGTGCTTTTCTAAACTGACAGAGAAAAACTTGCAAAAGTAGTAGTTTACTAGAACAGAAGAAATCAAAACAAACCCGAATATCCAATTTAAAAATAAATACCACATTAACTTAAAAACATAAGCCTCATTTAAAGAGAAATATTACCTTACCTTAAGATTAACATTCCAAAGCAAGTTTCACTGGATATGTATTTAATTAGTATTTCCTATGTATTCGTCATGCAATTTTTTTCTTTTGATTGTTCAAACCTCATGCTGTTCTGCCAATTGTGTAGCTTCAGTTTTTTTGATCTTTCATCCTTAAACAATGTGTCCTACTTTTTGAACCATACTGCATTCTCCCAGGATCTTTCATTTCCATGTGGGATGCACACCATATTAACCAGTGGGGTTTAGTTTAAGTTACTGTATAATACACAAGATCTTTCCTCAAAAGGAAAGGGATTTAAACAATCTGGGGAACAACCAGAAGTAAAAGCAGATACAAACTGGTATACATGAAACACACAGAACACTTACAACTCTGGAGTTAATGACAGACCCTAAGTCAGGTGCCTGATAAATCACTCCAGCAATAATATAGTAGTCGGCCAATGGAATAGCTGTGGGGAAAAAAAAATAAAAAAGGCAGGATCAATTTAAAGCTTGGGCTGAAGACTGCATATTTGTTGCTGAATTTCAGTAGTAACAGCAGGATATTGCAATATTAATCTTATCACCAAATTTTCTCTTTTTAACCTTTTCCTTCATAGTGCTTTATTTGCACCTTAGCCACAGACTGATGGGGGGCGGGGGGGAAACTCAAGGTCTCTTTTACAGATAGAAAAGCATCAGCTTTAAGTCCTGTCCTACTGCAAACAAATAACTGACCTTGCAAGAGTTGGGGTTTTCAGAGCTACAAGAGGAGTCAAATGAATTGCACGGGAAGTAGTTCCACTTGCCTTTGCTACCGGTAGAAACCCACAACCACATAAGATCTCATTCTTCCAGCATCAGCTTTCTCCAACTTGTACAGTCCTCTTAGCTAGATTTCCTAGACCCAATGGCAGCTAAGCACACACAGAGCATGCCTTTCTAAATTAATAACATTCTGACAAAAAAAAAAAGACTACTTTCCAAAAACATTTGCTAAATCAGATCTGAAACCTCTAACTGACCAATCAAAAATTCTTGTTCATTAGAGCTGCAGTGCAAAGGAACATCACAATTGCCTCCATAATACCCTGCCAAGCATTCTTCAATTGAGAAACTGTAGCAATACCATCAGCTTCACATTCCTAAGGATCTTACCTGCACACACATTTGTTCCTGTTCCTCCATCTGTATTAACACATTCTGCCTCAACCTTTTTACTGACAAGACCCAATTCATCCAGTACTTGCATTTTATGAAGCTTGGACACCTGCCTAAATTAACAGACCAAGACCGCTGGGTGCACAGTACTCACTTCTCAAAAAAAGAAAAAAATAAAGAGGGTTCTCAGCATTTCCTTAGAAGCAGAGCAAGACACAGAACAGCAGCTTTACTATCTCACAGCTCTCTACCAGAGCAGCCTACTTTCCGAGACACGTAACTCTCCCTAATCATTGGATCTAAAGATTTTTCCAAGATCACTTCAAACAGGCAAAAATTTGGCTTAAAGAATTTAAAATATAAATATACTTTTTTTGAAAACCACGCAGAAGTCCTAAGACAGCCCTGCACCAGTTCTCAGCACTCAACACTAGCTGTGAACTCATAAAATCTTCGTTTTCCACCCCCATTCTTGCGTCTCAAATAGACTAATATTTGTACCATGATAAAATGAAACACATGGGTAACACTTTAGCTAGGGAACTATGCGATTCAATCAAGGTACCTAGCATAAACCGTACAGTCACATTGGGGAAAAATGTTACCAAACAAGTCCCAGTTAAGTTCCACCAAACATACATTTGCATTACAATAAAAGTCTGAACACACATATGGAAACCCCAACACTCCTCTTATCTAAAAAGTGTCAAAACAGGAAATTAAGGGCTGCATATTTCCATACACACCTTTTGAAAGCTAGATTCAAAACCTTTAATAAAGAAACAATTAAAAAAATCTATTAAAGAAGGAATCATGTATGGTTTTTTTCAGTATGGAACTGCAATGTAAAGAGGCCATCACCTGATATAAGCAAATAAGAAGCATTGCTAGACAAGGCAAAGTCCTGTACAAGACCAAAATGCACATGCAGAGCCTAAGTCACTAAAAAAAAAAAGTTAAGTAACTAGCATTAACCCTGCCTTTCTTTTCTATAAAGCTGACTCTTAAATAACCTAGATTATTTTACATATACATGCAGTAAACACAGAAAGCAGTTCAATAACTACTGAAATGTGGCTTTTAATTAATCACACACAAACAAATCTGAATGCCAGCGACATGCAAATGAAAAAAAAAAAGCTAAGGTATTTCATTTAAAACTTGGAAAGGTCATCAGTGACACTGTAAGAAGGAGCGATGCTGTTGTCACAAGATTCCCCTCACAATTCCAGAATACTCAGTTCTCAGAGGAATAACCAAAACAAGCATTTGCGGTATCTCACGGTCATTTTTCACATGGGTCGTTGTCTTCTACTGACAAGATCCTACTCAGCAGTATAACCAATCCACAGTTGAAGGTGAAAATAGTGCAGAATAAGAGTGACATGACACAAACAGAAGCATGAATGATCCCTTTCCCTAACTAATGGAAATCACAGTTCTCCAAAAATACATGAATCATATACTAGCCACTTCAGATTATTAGCTCAAATTAAACTAAGCTCATCAGCCCCAAGCAAGGATACCATTAGCCTTATATTCAAATAATTAATATGAAAACTCTTGCATAGCCTAACAGATAAATATGACATGGCATGAATGCTATTATCAATTCCCCATGGCAAAATATACCACAGGGCAGCACTTTCTCATTGCACTCTTCACATTCCACCACAAGATGGCAATCCCTGCTATTAGCACACTAGAGGTCACTCTGCTAGACCCCACCACAAAGCCTTACACCCTTTTATTTAGATTTAAGATAAAGACACGAAAAGAAACCAGAAGTGCTTAAACACAAATTAGGAACAGATAAAAGCGACTAACTTATCGACCTTCTCAACAGTGACAAGAACTGAGTGACCTTACCTTGTGTTGGAGATTGCCTTTGCTGCTTTCGGATAATGAAGAGAATGGGCTCTTGAGCATGAAGAAGTATGTACTCCACTCCAACCATCTGGCTGAAAAACAAGCAACCAGAGTAAGTATCTTCCTCAAAGTAAAATCTGTAGGATGTGAAGAGCTACCAAAGGGGCTGGCAGCAAAGGGATGAAGTTCTGATGCTTTGGAAGCTCTTAGATGTATTGTGCAGTAAAGGTGGGCATAGGATTTCCCGAGCTAGCTATCAAAACCTAGTTGCATATACCAAGGGAGTTACAACAACCTGACACAATATCTAAGCAGAACACATTAGCAAACAAACACATAGCAAAAAAGGTAACAATCTATCATCATAGAGATATCATTTAAACACAGAAACAAAGGATCAGCATATGATGTGACCATCTGTGTGTCTGATGTGAAAGCCGCTCTGCAACCACATCTGAGCACAAGTGACTTTACCAATGAACTTTTAGCTCAGCTTGCACACTCCCAATCATATCGTGGAGTCTTTAAATAGTTCTCAAACATCTCACTTGTGCTCAGTGTAGCAGATGGGGAACTGCAAAGAAAGTTAACTTGTGCATGCTGCAATCTCATTACACAACCATCTGTGATCAGTTTATTTACAACACTCACTACTTTTATTATCCATACTAAAAAGCCATCTCTTTGGAGGAATTATGCACTAATTATGGCACAGAGCCAGTGGGATATGGAAACACAAACTATTTATGAACTCAAAAGTATCCCCTAACATAAACACTATTCACCATAGAAAAACATTTAACTACATTACCACTGTTGGGTTCTGTTGAGCTGGGAGGATGAGAGAAGGCAGCTTTTCTAAATCAGAGAAATATCTAAAAGGTGATTTACTGGAATCTCAGAACATACAGAGAATCCTTCATGTTTAACACCTCCTTGAAATGGCATAAGAGGAAGTACAAGACATCCAAATACAAAAAAAGCTGGGCTCCCTGGCAAGTCGTGGGACTAAAAACTACAGAACAGGAGGTTTCCAGCATGCTTCCATTCAACCATCAAAGCCTCTCGATGGAAGGACAAAGGACACTGCACAGGAAGCAGTTCCAAATTACAACTTACTTCAAATGATCCAAGGTCATCCGCTGCATTTTGACAACTTCATTGTTACACGTTCGGTCATAGAATGGGTTACTTCGCTCTGAGAAATAGTCCAACACACTCCCATTGTTTAATATCGGAATCCAGGAACTGTCAACCCAGGAAATTCCCAAGAGATTATCTGGGAAGAGAAATCTACATTGAGTACCAAAGCAGACAGAAACACTATAAATACCTCCAAGAGTAAATTGCCACCAGTTAATGATTCTAGCAGGAGAAGGAGGTAGAACACAGCCTCACACAAACCAGTTCTAATTAAAAACGTGTTTCATAGACTTCAAATAATAATTGATACCCTTCAACCTTCTGCAGTTCTGTTGTAGGTACACAACAGAAATATAGGGGGTTTTTATTATTGCTCTTTTCTTTCCCTGACCATTAGCTGCTGGTATACCTTTATGTCTCAAGAACATGAGCAGTGTCTGTGTGCACTGTGTTAGTGGGAGTTAATTTGCTCTGATTCTGTTTATTATTATCATACTACATCTACTCAGTAGTGTTATATACAGTTTATTTTATGAACCACAGCATGAGCTGAGTAGAAAGACAATTCAGAGCATGGTTCCTTTCAAAAGCTAGGTCTCTGGTAAGTTGAATTTACTAAACTAGGTTAGAATCATTTACGGGGGGCAGGGGGGTGATACACCCCACACTAAATCTGAGCCTGGTCATGTTTAAAACAGTTTATTTCTTACAAAAATGCTGTCTTTGGGCAGATGTTTCCTAGTGGTCTTGAACAAGAGATTCTATTCCTGACTCTAAAATTAATCTGCCAAACTGCCTGCAGCAAATTACTTATTCCATAACTCAGTGGATATCACAGAAATCCAACTACAATTATATATAAAACCAAGCTTTTAAAATGAAACATACTCTATAACCTGCAAATCGCTGTATGTCAGTCAAGGTCCTACAGATTTTGGGACATTTGACTTAAAATCTGTAGATTTTATTATCACACTGCAGCAAAAAGATGTTCCTCAAGCAGACCAAAGAAACCAGTGTCAACAATTGGTTCCACAGTCAACAAATCCATGAGGCACCTTGAAAAGCACCCTGAAATTAATCTATTTCAAATCACAGCAGCAAGTGGAATTTCCAAGACACAAGAAAGCAGGAAAAAAAGGCACGCATTGTTTAGAACTCAAAAACATAAGTGATGGGAAGTCATTGAAGACTGAATGAAGAACTGAAATTCTCTTCTCACAGGAACCATTCCCTTACGTTCGCGCATTATATACATACCCAGAACTCCTACTCATCATGCCACTGTGAATATTTTACTTCTGCAACAACTCTGCATGCTCGAGGATGACTGGATCAGTTCCAAAAATGTCAGCTCATATACTATTAGCAGCTTCTCTGAGGAACAGTTAATAAAGTAACCCTAGCTGCCCAGCAAACCAGGAAAAATGCAGCAGAAATAGTCATGTGTAAACCATTTTGCCTCATTAATCTCAGAATTGCCAGTCTAACTCTTTCATAGAACGGCGAGCGGGGAGAAGTCGAGGCATTCATGTTATTTCACATACAATATTCTCTCGCCTCACTATAAAAAAGCAAATCTCAGAAATACAGCACTAAGATCCATCATTAAGCACCCAAGTTGTGGTAATGCTGATTATGCTAAATGCCTTTCAAAACAAAAAAACAAGCCTTCCTTCCCAACAAACCCAAAATCTTAAGTGCTTGCATTTTTGCTATAATAAATTCTCATATTACATTTCAAATATAAACTTTTCTTGCTTGTATGATTAACAATAACTACATTTCTCAAGAGGAATGTCAGACAAGCTTCATAACTATATATAGAGTTATAAAGCTGCATATAAATTGATAAATGTATCATAAACTGAAATATAAAGTTATGCTTTAAGGCTCAATTACCCATAGCTGATTAGTGCCAGTATTTATAATTGCCTTTATAACTAGCAAGGTTGTTCTCTTGAACTATTCTTGGAAAAAAGGGGAGGAAGAACAAAACCAGTCATGAACCTGATATGCCTGTTATTCCCACTAAGAAGGGAGTACTTCTGTTTATTTTGGGTATGAGGGAAAAAAGGGATGGTTGTTCTGCTTCCCTGCTCCTTTCAAAAACAGGACATCTTGGTCAAAGCATTTTTTGTGGAATTTGCATCACAAATGCAAAAATAAACTGCTTGTCACAGTCATGCCAATCTGCCATGAATGTCAAGACAATTTGGGAGACAAGACAGCAAACCATGGCAAAAAATAAGAGGAGAGCAGTTCACACAATGTGCTGTACCTGGCCTTGCCAGCTAGATAGCCCAACACTAGGCTTTGACAAACTGAGAGGAACAGTAAAATAGTTTGATAGCTTAAAAGTAGAAGTATGCCTCATAATCTACTTAATATATTAAATCATATTAGATAAAAGCCTTTGAGGGAGCTTAAACGATCTGGATTAAGACAGCAGGTTCTCACACTTGCTAATAACTTAATACAGCACTCCTCCATTAATTGTCCACATAGCTCCTTGCTGCAATCTGAAACAAGGCAGTCAGAAAAGAGGACTGCAGACATCATTAAGTAAGAATTTTAAGAAAAAAGGAGAAAACTTCTGTGGCATTATCAAAATTAACCCCTCACAAGCTTTTCCTAAATATCTGCTCTTCATCATTCTCCAAGACTCCATCACACAAGCTTTTAGTGTGATTCCATTCAGATACCCTTATGGAGGAAAACAATTTCCTTTCTCAGGTACTTTCAATCCCCTCTTCCTCCTCAAAGTTCAAACTCTTCACAGCAATTTAACCTGTATTTTGTTTACAACGTAAACCTTTTTTAGTGCTTCATTCAAATATCACTCCTCCTTCTTCAAAACATTCTCTCCTTCTATTCATATCCCTTGAATTCTCAACCCAACCTTTCTCATTCTCAGTTACTTCAGCTTTCTCTCTGTTTTTTCCAACACCTGGCGTGTCCCATCACATCCACCTGAATCGCTGTTAAGATTACCAGCCTAACTCACCGCTTTGGTCTTGTGGGAGTCCCACACCTGCCAGCGTTTCCCACTCTTCCACACACTTCAGGGCTAAAACTCTATTTTTTAGCTGTTTCCTTATGTTACTATCTCACCCCAGAACCCCCTAATTCCCCCTGAAAAGACAGAAGCGTACCAGATGGGAGGCTTGTCTTTCCCAGGCAGCCCTGAACACACTCTGTCCAAGAAAATCGCTTTTTGAACAGTTTTTCCTCCCAGTTCCTTCTCATGACATTGATGGATCAGCAACGCCACTAATCTCTCTTGCGCGGAGTTTTAAAGACATACAAACAAACTCAGCAGCTCCGCTGCCCCTACAGAGCACTAAAGGGAAGCAGCTCGATTACCCTCGCACCTTTGGCAACACCAGTCACTTGGACGCTCCTCGGAGCGAGTACTATTAGCACAGCAACCTCCAGGACGGCGGCATTACACCAACCTCCTC